GTCTCCGGCAGGACCCCGGCCTGGGGCCTGCGGGACACGGTTGTGCTGCAGCAGCTGGCCCAGGCCAATGGGCTGCGTCTGGAGAGGATGGTGGGTACCGGCGGGCGCCCCGCGCTGGAGGCCCATGAACTGAGAGGGCACATGCCTGAGCAGGGCCCACCTACGGGGGGATAGTGCTAGAAGGGTGGGATGGTTCCCCTCCCCAGCAGAGCACCCCCTGCCAGAGCTGGGGAGACCTGTCCCTGCTTCCCAGCTTGGCCTGAGGTGGCAATTCTAACACGGGAGCACTGGGACCCCCGCATTCCCTGCAGCGCCTCCTGCTGGAGAGACTGGTGCAGTTGGGCGCCCCCCCGCATTCCCTGCAGCGCCTCCTGCTGGAGAGACTGGTGCAGTTGGGCGCCCCCCCGCATTCCCTGCAGCGCCTCCTGCTGGAGAGACTGGTGCAGTTGGGCGCCCCCCCGCATTCCCTGCAGCGCCTCCTGCTGGAGAGACTGGTGCAGTTGGGCGCCCCCCCGCATTCCCTGCAGCGCCTCCTGCTGGAGAGACTGGTGCAGTTGGGCGCCCCCCCGCATTCCCTGCAGCGCCTCCTGCTGGAGAGACTGGTGCAGTTGGGCGCCCCCCCGCATTCCCTGCAGCGCCTCCTGCTGGAGAGACTGGTGCAGTTGGGCGCCCCCCCGCATTCCCTGCAGCGCCTCCTGCTGGAGAGACTGGTGCAGTTGGGCGCCCCCCCGCATTCCCTGCAGCGCCTCCTGCTGGAGAGACTGGTGCAGTTGGGCGCCCCCCCGCATTCCCTGCAGCGCCTCCTGCTGGAGAGACTGGTGCAGTTGGGCGCCCCCCCGCATTCCCTGCAGCGCCTCCTGCTGGAGAGACTGGTGCAGTTGGGCGCCCCCCCGCATTCCCTGCAGCGCCTCCTGCTGGAGAGACTGGTGCAGTTGGGCGCCCCCCCGCATTCCCTGCAGCGCCTCCTGCTGGAGAGACTGGTGCAGTTGGGCGCCCCCCCGCATTCCCTGCAGCGCCTCCTGCTGGAGAGACTGGTGCAGTTGGGCGCCCCCCCGCATTCCCTGCAGCGCCTCCTGCTGGAGAGACTGGTGCAGTTGGGCGCCCCCCCGCATTCCCTGCAGCGCCTCCTGCTGGAGAGACTGGTGCAGTTGGGCGCCCCCCCGCATTCCCTGCAGCGCCTCCTGCTGGAGAGACTGGTGCAGTTGGGCGCCCCCCCGCATTCCCTGCAGCGCCTCCTGCTGGAGAGACTGGTGCAGTTGGGCGCCCCCCCGCATTCCCTGCAGCGCCTCCTGCTGGAGAGACTGGTGCAGTTGGGCGCCCCCCCGCATTCCCTGCAGCGCCTCCTGCTGGAGAGACTGGTGCAGTTGGGCGCCCCCCCGCATTCCCTGCAGCGCCTCCTGCTGGAGAGACTGGTGCAGTTGGGCGCCCCCCCGCATTCCCTGCAGCGCCTCCTGCTGGAGAGACTGGTGCAGTTGGGCGCCCCCCCGCATTCCCTGCAGCGCCTCCTGCTGGAGAGACTGGTGCAGTTGGGCGCCCCCCCGCATTCCCTGCAGCGCCTCCTGCTGGAGAGACTGGTGCAGTTGGGCGCCCCCCCGCATTCCCTGCAGCGCCTCCTGCTGGAGAGACTGGTGCAGTTGGGCGCCCCCCCGCATTCCCTGCAGCGCCTCCTGCTGGAGAGACTGGTGCAGTTGGGCGCCCCCCCGCATTCCCTGCAGCGCCTCCTGCTGGAGAGACTGGTGCAGTTGGGCGCCCCCCCGCATTCCCTGCAGCGCCTCCTGCTGGAGAGACTGGTGCAGTTGGGCGCCCCCCCGCATTCCCTGCAGCGCCTCCTGCTGGAGAGACTGGTGCAGTTGGGCGCCCCCCCGCATTCCCTGCAGCGCCTCCTGCTGGAGAGACTGGTGCAGTTGGGCGCCCCCCCGCATTCCCTGCAGCGCCTCCTGCTGGAGAGACTGGTGCAGTTGGGCGCCCCCCCGCATTCCCTGCAGCGCCTCCTGCTGGAGAGACTGGTGCAGTTGGGCGCCCCCCCGCATTCCCTGCAGCGCCTCCTGCTGGAGAGACTGGTGCAGTTGGGCGCCCCCCCGCATTCCCTGCAGCGCCTCCTGCTGGAGAGACTGGTGCAGTTGGGCGCCCCCCCGCATTCCCTGCAGCGCCTCCTGCTGGAGAGACTGGTGCAGTTGGGCGCCCCCCCGCATTCCCTGCAGCGCCTCCTGCTGGAGAGACTGGTGCAGTTGGGCGCCCCCCCGCATTCCCTGCAGCCTGTCGCTCGTCTTCCCGCCCCCAAAGCCTCTGGAAGCAGGGTCGCTCGTGTGCTTGTGGGCACTGCATGCTGCCACCTCCCTGCACGCCCCCACCCAGCCTGTGCTCACGGCCCCCGGGGACGGAGGAGCCCCCGAGGGGGGGCACAGCTGGGGTCACCTCTCCCCTGGGGATGTAGCCCTGCAGTGCGGCGGCATCTGGCTACCCTGGGGGGACGATTCCCCCCTCCCATGGGCTGGGCCCCATGTAGTCAGACTGCTGCATCTCTCCCTCGGGCCCTGCTCCCCCCATGGGCTCCCTGAGCTGCACAGTGGTTTCCAGGCTGGAACATCCCCTGCCCCAGTGACCCAGCTGGAGCACATGGCCTCTGCCAC